TTTGTTTCCTTATAGAAAAATTTCAATTCAATATAATTTTCTTTTTTGAGTTAGGATTTTTGTATATTTCAGCCTACTGTGTGAAGAGTATAAAAACGTAATATCAATAAAATTGTAAATAAATTTGAAATTACTTTTAGTTTTACAGGGTTTTAAAATTGGCCAGGCATAGGCACTCGCGGATCGGTGACAACACTAATCATTTGTAATTGCTGTGGTGGGAGGTGTTTGTGTGAATACGTCTTGTTTGTTTTCATGTACGCCGTGACTAGCAGTAGTATTTTATAAACCTTAGAAACAAATTTCACATACATGAACAACTAATAATAAGAAGACGAAGTAACGACTTCTCGTAGGGTGACGGCTTTGCCGCCACCATAAAATTTCAAACCATACCTGGCTACGCCGACCGGCATAAACACCAACGGCCTGGACACAGCTCATCTACTCTGTCAAAAGAAGACCGATGTACAAATAAAACGGGTACGACATGCGGACTACTAATGATTAGTGTTGTCCCCGATACGCGAGTGGCATAGGCTAGGGATGCGCACGATGTATCAATTTTTAGGTTTGGATTATCGATGTTCAACATCCGTGTTTTTTAATCCGATGTTATTAGTTAACATCGATTTTTATTTATCCGATGTTATTTGTTTTCTTTTCAATGTTTTTCAACATCGATGATTTTCTTTTTAATGTTTTTTGGTTTTTTGCTAAGCTTCACGTTTCATTGTTTCATTTGATGATAGTTTTTTCCTATTTTCCTTTTTTTTGCTCTTCAATGAACGCTTTTGGAAAACAACGATGATGTTACAGACACATCGATGTATGGAAAAACAAACAGCGATATTTAGAAAAATCGATATTTTCTGTTTTAAAAATTTTGCGCATCCCTAGCATAGGCAATGTATTTCTAATGGGAGACCAATACACTGTGTTGCCGTTTACTTGATAGCTGTGACAGGGTCGGCTCAGTAATAGTCAATGTTATTAGAGCATGTAATCTTGGTTGCACATATGAGGACTGTTTGTCCTTCTTAACGTCTAATTGGACAACTGCAGAGAGAAAGTAATCCACAAATTTGTGATTGTTAGACTTTCGCATAATATTTGGCAATCCAAATTACGTGACTTTAAATGGTGGACCCTTGGCAAAAACAACAAAAGTACGTGCTTCCCTTGACAAAACCACTTCTAGTGAGGTTATTAGTCTAAGTTTGTTTTATTTTTTTTGGAGTATTTAGAGTTGTTTTCAGTATGTTTAGTTGAAAAATGGCATACATGAATATTTATTTTGATATATAGAATATTAATTGCATGATTTGCAATAACAATCAAATACTAATGAAAAAATCAGGTCAAGAAGCTTTGTTGTTTTCGCCAAGTATCAGCCATTTTTGTCCATTCTGACCTTTCTGACAGGCCATTGGATTGACTAATTGCATTAAGAAACGTAACATTTACTGCAAAAGATCCAGGCCACATTCTGGTACCTGGCTTTATTTGTTAGCAAATGAACCAACCGACTAAATTGGTTAAGCAATTAACCTCTCTGTAGAAGCTTGGTTGCTTTCTGTATAATAGAGATAAAGCCCATGACTGTTTTATAATTGTCAAAACTTTGACATTTAATGACTCAACTTTTTTTGGGATTGGTTTAGTTGTGATTTATTAATTGCAACATAGAATTTAAGGAGGTCCTTTCGCTACACCTCTCGCCTCAAATGTTAAAAAAAAAGTTATTAGATTATGACTAAAATTAATTTTTTTCTAATAGTTGAAGTCCTTATTTATCTAATACTGAACTTTTAACTATACCTTACCTTGCAAATTTTTGAGATTTTTTTTTTAAAAATGTGAGTATTTGTACAGTGCCTCACGAGAAAGTAAGTCCTCAACAACAATTCTCGAATTATACTATTATTTATTGATTAGATGGTGTAGAAAAAAACTAAAAATAAGGTTTTTGAAATATTTAGATTTTGTTTTATACAATAAAATATATATAGTAAACCGTGGAACTTATTGAGAAATTAATATTAAAAAATCACAAAAAATTTTTAAGTAACCTAGTTGAAAATTTTTTGTGATTTTTTAATAATAATTTCTCAATAAATTCCACGGTAACCTATATATTTTATTGTAAAAAACAAAACCTAAATATTTCAAAAACCTTATTTTTAGTTTTTTTCTACTCCATCTAATCAATAAATAAAAGTAAAATTAATTATAATTCGAAAATTGTTGTTGAAATCTTACTTTCTCATAAGACACTGTACAAACACATACATTTAAAAAAAAAAAATTCTCAAAAATTTGCACGGTAAGGTATAGTTAAAAGTTCACTATTAGATAAATAAGGACATCTACTATTAGAAAAAAATTAATTTTAGTCATAATCTAATATTTTTTATTTAACATTGGTGGCGAAAGGACCTCCTTAAGAAATTCCAACGCGGACAAATGCTACATGTGAGTGCGAAAATTGTGATTTTTAATATTTTTTGTTATTTAGACAATGGCGATAAATTAAGTGTGACTACAGCGGTAAGTCGTGCTTCCAAAATGAGTGAGTTCAGTGAAAAACAAATTATACCATCAAGAAAGAGGAGCAACAAAACAATGGCGAATTGAAAAAAGTGGATAAGGCAGTCAAATTCTCGCGAATATACATATGATGAGTTTTAAGAGCTTCTTAAGAGAAATTGTGCACAATGATTTTTCAAACAGTCCGACAACTTTGAATGCAATTTACAATATCATTCGAGAGAATGAGAATTTACCATCGTTCTCTTCAAGAACATTATGTATATTGATGAAAGATATTGGTCATGAATATGTGAAGTGTGGTCGTAAAAGTATAATGTTAGAACGAAACGACATAATTCATTGGCGGCACAGACATTTAAGAGCTATCAAACAATATCGCCAACAAAATTGTAACGTTATCTATTTAGATAAGATTTGGGTTAACTTGAGTCCAACGGTTAACCATAAAAAATCTTAGAGATGCTTTTAAAAAGTGGCCACAAAGCACCTACACAAAGAGGTCTACGTTTTGTTATTTTTCCATGCAGGATATGAATTTTTACCTGGCGCCGCGCGTGTTTTCTTGGAAAAGAAAAACGATGGCGATTATCATAACGAAATGAAAGCCGACTATTTTGAGCAATGGTTTGAGGAGTCGCTGATTCCGAACTTACCCAAAAATGGACGAAAGAACGTTGTTGTTAGGGATAACGCTTCGTATCGTTTCCGAAAATTTAGTTTTAAAGCTGCTTTATTGAACAAACTCGAAATAAAAAAAAATTAGCTGCATGAAAAAAACAATTTCTTTAACGATTCCCTATTTAAAATTTGAGCTACTTGAGGTTATCAACGCATACCGAGAGCAATACGACAAATGTAAGTTAAAAAAATAGTTGTAAAATACGGAGTAACTGTTTTACGCTTATCGCCGTATCAGAGCTTAACTCGATCAAGATGGTATGGAATCAGGTAAAGCGCTATACTGCTATGAACAACTTTGATTTTACGACACAGGATGTTCGTTTATTGATAGATAAAGTATTTGAACATGTTACTGAACAAAATTGGCGTAACTTCGTTACACATGTCAGAGAAAAAATGAAAAAATAAATGTGGTTCGCTAATAATCTTCAAGACAACGTTGATAAACTTATTATGAGTAAATATTGGCAACAGTTCTGAGAGTGAGATTTCAGACCTCGATGATGACTTATTTATTGTATGAAATTTGTTTGTTATTTGTTAACTTATAAATTTGTAATTTTGAAATTCATTGTTTATTATTTATTATTACACACACATTTTGAGATAAAATTTAAACCAGTGTTCAAATTTGCCTGAAAGCGGACCTGTTTTTTGGTCGATCACAGTAAAGCGACGTCTGGCAACGGCGCTTCTTATTCACTCCGTGCGTGACAGCATCGCCAATTCATTTAGGTACTAATGGACTATTTCTGCGTATACTGACAATACAATTTTTAATAGAATTTGTAATTCAAAAGTATATATGTTAGTTTCAATAAAAGTATATGGATTTGTAAAACAAGTAAAACATTAATTTATCATTATTATATATTTTTATCGCTTAAATTAAAAAAAATTAAGTATAATCAATAAAAATCAATATTAAAATATAGGCAGGTAACAGTATTTACGGGAAAATGTATGAGAAGTTGCCTAAGTCTAATAAGTTGTGTTTGAAGAATTAAACTATTCTGTCAAAATTTAAAAAACCATTAAATAATAGATTAAAGTTAAAATAAATAAACAGAAGGATTGTTATTTATATTTTCAGTTTTGTTCGAAAGAAAACATGAAATGAATGATTAAAATTGGTTTCCCATCAGTAAGTTACAAAATTGCATTCCAGCCACATACAATAATCAAAGGCAGAAATCTTGAAATCTAGTCCTTGCTGAAAATTTAAGAATAAAGGAATGTTGAAGAACATCGTAAAATGATAATTTATTGTTTATTTAAAACTTTTCAAGTTTGTGATGTCTACTATTTCTAGTATTACAAAAATAAAGGTAATTTTTCTTCTTATTTGTACACCTATTCATTTATTTCTTTGATTTAATTTCCACTTTTTTACTGAAAATTTTTATAATTTTTGCTAGTATTTTTACAATTTTCAACACAGCAACTCTCCGGTTGCTTATTGTATTGTTTTTACCTAATTTTTGAAAAAAAAGAAGAGTAAAATGTATACGTGTATTTGATATGTCAAAATTACAAAATGAACGAATTTTCCGCAGCTAGCCCTAGTATCGCTTTTGCTTCCTCTACCATGACTTCGCACTAAGCGAATAAGACTTCCACTGCATTTTCAGTGTATCCCGCACTATAGTAGGCAAATAAAAACTGCGTTAATTTCGCTAAATTCGTATTAAACAGGAAAATATAGAAACATTTTTGAAATGCAATAATTACTAGCTAGTGTGATAAAGCGAAACTTTTTTACGTACCTTCGACGGCCAATGAGGCATAACTGCAGTCTTCTCCGTGTACATTTTCTAAGGTAATGTCATATTTTCCACTGTCGTCTGTCGTGATGTTTTGCAAAAGGAGGCAGGATACTCCGTCACCGGATGTTATGCTCGTACGTTCGTCGTTTTTTAACTCTCGGCCCTGAAAACAAACACATTCTTACATCATTTATTTCATATCTAATTACAAAATTTATAAATAATCGATTTTAAGTCTGGAGAATCAATTCAACTAATTCAAATTAAGAGAGTATTTTTAATTATACAGAGACAAACATTTGTTGATTGTTTTCTAGATTACATGTGTTTGGAACACGAAATTTTCAATTTAAAACTTATAGGTCTTTAATCATCTCATTTCCATGTTTCACTTTAGCAAAATATAATTGATCTGAGTACATATTTTCACTTTCAGTTTTATAAATAAGATCAATAAGATCAAGTCCTCAAAATCATTTAAACAATTTATATACGAAATTTAACAATTTAGACGTTGATTTAAAATTATTAGAAAATTAAGTATTAATCAATAACTTTAACCTTGACATCTTAAATCATACTCAATCTAACCCAACTTTATTAGAATTGATATATTTGACTTTTACGAAAAACACGTTTTCAAAATAACATTTATAGTCCCTCATCTGAGCAGCGGCCCGACTTATAGACTGAATAAAAAGAGTGCTGGTGGGGATATAACGTCACATTCCATAGGCGTACTTTGCAAAACAAGTTTCTATAATATAAATAACGTCACGGCATATAAAATGGTATATACGCACTTCGTAGAATAAATTTTGAATGAAAAAAGTTATATTATTTACAAAAAATAAAAATAAACCTTATATTTCTGACAAAATTGTTGCACTTTAACATTGAACGAATTAAATTTAACCAATAAATAACAAGAAGGATTATATATTGTTAATAGGATTAAATTTTTTTAATCTCTTGTTTGTCATTAACACTTCAGTAACTAAAATCAAGAACTATCTATTAAAGTCACTGTCCTCACTATAACTACTGATATCATTATCATTGTCTTTTCTGAGGTTTATTTTCATAGGACCTATTAAGTTTTTCATTGCTTTATCCACTTTCCAAAATGAATATTCCACCTTTTTAACAATGGCGGTTTCTCCATTGGGTCATTTGTATAGTGAACACCCAGTTACATTTCACAAAACACATTATTTTATAATAAATAATATAAAAATATAAATTCAATTTTAATAATTTTATTGTTTTTATACGTGTTAATCTCCATTTTTTGGTACGCTACTGCGCTCTGGCTAATCACGTCGCTTTGGCTCACTGTTATGAGTGAGCCCGCGGGAGTGAGATGCTTTCCCGAAAGCCTCTAACTAAAATGAGATGTCAGCACGTTAACAGATCGGTGAAACGAACAATGACCCACTTAAAATCTCTAAAATCATCTTATTTTGCGCAACGCACACAGTGACGTCACAAAGTAGTCTGCACTTTTGCATTACCCTTTAACGACATTAAACTCGAGCTAGTCAGTTTTAGTAATAATAAATGCCATTTTTTTTAATAACGTTATTTAAAACATTTCATTCCGTCAATTTTTAAATATAAAATTATTAGATATGTCAAACTAATGTAGCGCTGAGGATTTCATGAACTTACATTACAGGTTTTTTAAAGACGATATAAAATATAAATATTGCACTGGTCTAAATTAATTCAAGAAATTTAATAGTTGTGTCTATGTTAGGTATGTACCTATATCATAAGGACTAAATTAAATATTTACCCATATCTACCTGGGAGGTAAACTGAACTATATCGACATAATGCAGTTTTATAAAGCTTATATTTTTTAAAGCGGCTCATCGAGACCTTTTCAGGGGTATTCTATACCATGTATAATGATGTCACAATAAAAGTTGATTAAAAAAAAAGATAACACTATGTTCAAAGTTCAATAAACTTACAAGTTAATTATTAAACAATACTTTTTAACTCTCACGTTAGTCGTACTTTTTGTAGAGGCACTATGTTATAGAAAATTTGTTATCAGAACATAGAAATATGGTAACAAAAAGTAACAATTCATCTATTAAAAAAAAGTTTTAATAATTAGTTTATCAGTAAACAATACATATTGTGACAAAGATTGGGGCTAACTGCATTTCTTGTCGAAATATAATTATTATATATAAATATGGAACACGAAAAGTGTCCAACCAACATTCAGTCTGCTCTACTAAAGAGTTGACTAGAATGACATTGCGCAGTTTATCTCCGAGGTATACCTATTAAATAATTTTCAAAACTTTGACTTTATCATTCTTTTAGTGTACCCATTTTTTAGGATAATATGTTACTGTTTTAGCCTTGATTATATAATTATTCTACTCTTCACACAGTAGTCTGTGAAGAGTGGTTAGGTTTACTTTGTCCGATGTCTCGTTTTTTGTCTGCAGGAGAAGTCAATGAAACGATTTCAACTTGAAAATTTTGAATAAAAAACAAGCTCTAGGTATAAAGGGACAAAACTTATTGATGTTGAAAAAATCTGATTAAAAATAGGGGGTTAAGATGGGTTGAAAATAAAATAAATCCTAAATTAAAAACGAAAAGCGATATCAACATGAAATGTTCAGTAAAAATGAAGAGATAAAGCCTATTGATTCTGAAAAAATCTGAATAAAAATGGGTGCTTTAAGGGGGGGGGGGGTTGAAATTAAAAAAAACAAATCAAAAATAAAAGGCGATATCAACATGAAATGTTTAGTAGAAATCAATCTCTATCAAGAGATATTTATTGTAAAAAAAATGAATAAAAATAAGGAGGAGGGTTAAGGGAGTTGAAATATTTAAAATAAATCTAACTCAAAAACGAACAATAAAATCAACTTGAAATTTTTGGAAAAAATCAAGCTCTAGAAGCGGATAAAGCCTATTGATTCTGATTGAAAATAGGGGTTAAGGGAGTCTGTTAAACTGTGAAGAGTATAATTTAAAATGTCAGGCATTATATATCTTCATTCTAATTTGTATCTGTGTAATATTATGTATTGTGATGGGACTGATCTAATAAAATACACATTTTAGTTAACTTGCATTTTTGCCAATAAAAGGTATTTAAAAAATATATTATTTTATTTGACATGTGTGACAAATTATTAAATTTACATTAAAAACTGAAAAATGGTAGGTAGAGTTTCATATAATAATATTTTTTACACAAAACTCAATGTCAAGCTTTCTACATAACCTGACATATATTTAAAAATAATTTCAAAATATGAAGAAAAGTAATTTGACTAACTAATAATGTTTATAGATGGTTTTCAACGTATTAAAAACAAAAATATTAAAATAACTAAAATATTTATTTATTTATTCATTCATTAATAGTTGTACTGCTTGAAAACAGTATGATATTGATGATAATAATAACTAAACTTTTACACAGTTTTGAACCGAACTTACAAATAATAAAATGTGAAATTTAAAGTTGCTTATCGTTTTTTTGCGTCTAGACGTCAATACACAATTAAAAAATCCTTTGCAAGGTTTTTCTGTCATGCGGTTTTGCTACTAGCGGTGTGAGTGTAGGAATTTCCCTACATCGATAGTAGCAAAACCGGACGACATAAAATGCTTGCAAATTGATTTTTTATTGTTATAGACGTCTAGATGCAAATTATTTCATTGCCAGCATAAAACCAAAAACTTCATCGATAAGAAATATTATTTTGAATTTGACAGGTTACACGACAGCTCCCACCACCAGAACACAGTATATGTTGTTCACCCCCTCTCCTTTACCTAACTACAAATAGCAAGCAAAAACGCGACATGCCACTTTTTGCAATCAGATGAGGGACTAAAATGATTGTATGATCCTCAACTAAGAGTATTTTTTATTGAGTAGATCTACCCAATTCGCTATAAATTAGACTATTACGTTAGATATGACAACTCTGGTCACTGGCCAGTGCCAACTGAAGGTCACGAGCAAAGATGTAAATTAGAAAAATGTAGTGGCGGGTCAAGAATAGCTTGTGAAAAATGTAATGTTTATTTATGTCTTAGTAAACAAAGAAACTGCTTTAAAAATTATTATTTGAAACAATAGATATTGATTTGAATTGCACGTTATGTTTTTTCTTCTAGACCTCATAGTGGTATTTGCCACCAAGTTCTATTTTTTTTATAGAAAAGCTTTATGTACAAAATGTTTATATGTTCGTAACAACATATCTAAGTAGTAGCAATTACCAAAAAAATTTTTCTTTAGCGTTTAAAAATTTAAGGACGGAATGGGTTAAATGAGATTTGATTAATAATTGTACACTTTCAGTACAATTTCTCTATTAAAATGTCATGGGATAAGCTGTCAAAACCTTTTTTAAATCCAAAAACATTGTGTTAACTATTTATCCTTCCTCTAGTCCACTTATTATTTCTTTTATCACATAAATAGTTGCTTTAGTGGTAGATTTATTCCTACGAAAACCATACTGATGTGGAAATAGTAGTTTGTGCAACAAGAGTGCGATATGGATAATCCACTTGAATTGTACAGTATATTTTTTCTACGACCCATTAATGAAAATTTACAAATTAAAAAAAAATATTTTAGGTTATTAAGACAAAATAACTAATTTTAAAATAATTTATGACTTTTACTAATTTATGAAATAAAATAAACATTTATTTTAATTAGTCACCACCCCAGATTTGACCTCGGGTCTCTCGCGTGAAAGAGAGATCCTGTATCCTCACCTCCACCATCACTTTTAGGATTTTAGTTTTATTACTCGTAATTAAATTAGTTTCATATAGTTTGACTAAAATTTATTTTTTTTCAAAATGTGGACAAAATAAAAATAAAAATGCAATTATTTATCGATTCTATATAAAAATAAGTAATTTTAATATATATTTAATCTTAATAACTAAAAGATATACTGACAATTAGTTTGATAGAATTGTCACTTATTTAAAATTTTAATAATAATAGTATTTGGGTGTCCAAAATATGAACTGTGATTGGTGAATTTAATTTTTTTTGCATTGTTCTCACTGCCTAGAAATTATATGAAATATATTCGTTCATTAAGTCAAATTTACGAGAAATTTGCTAAATTATCTGAAGATTTATAT